TAGACTCACAGAGAGGAGCTCCCGACGCGCCTGGCACACCCTGCATTCTGCGGCCGCTGGGCCCCAAGAGACCCAGGGTGTTCCCTGGGTGTCCCGCCTCGCGTTCTCCAGTAGGGATCGCTCGGAACAAGGCCAGCAGTGCTTTCCCAGCCGCCGCTGGTGTGCCTTTTTTTTCACCAAGGCTGTGCGGGAGTTGAGCTCAAACAAAAGGATCGCTCGGAACAAGCTCAGGTGCGGTTTACGCAGGCGTTCTCCCAGTCGTTGAGGCGTCACCGGATTCTTCTCGTCGTCGCGGATGTCCCCCCCTTGGATGTGGACGCCTGGAATGGGTCCAGACAAACATGGCTACAATGCCCCAAAGCAAAGTTTGTCCAAAACCGTGAGTCCAGACGAAAATCCTGGAGGCCTCGCGCGGTGCGCAACAGTTGCATTATCTGAATCCACACGTCCGCTCCCTAAGCTATGGGCCGACGTTGGCGCGGCGATGCTCCGGCCCAAGCCCGACGTATTCCCGACGTAATCCGACGTGAACCCGGTGTAAGTCTTAAGTCGGGGCTGTCCCCCTACAGGGGGATGTTCGACGATTTTTTTTTAATACCCAAAGAATAGTTAACACATAGTCCAAAAATAGTCGGGATTATTTTTGTAGCATGTTTTGGCTTTCTTAAAACAAAAAAAAATAATAAAAAAAAACGTCTAAAATCCCTGTAAGGGGACACGCCCGACACAACTGTAAGTCCCGCGTGCATCCGATCCGACGTGCATCGGGTGTCAAGTCTCCGCGCGAGGCCTCCAGGGGTTCGTTCACAACATCGGCGGCCGCTGTTGGGCAGGCGGCCTTCTGCCTCAAACGGATACCTCCCGCGGCGGCACCGACATCGGGTCCTGTTCACGACGCACATTGGTTGCTGTCGGTCTTTGTTCCGTGCCCATTTCGCGCGTGCCGATTCGATTTCTGGTCAGAGCGCACCCCAGGAGATGGTCGGAGAGGAGATGGTGGAGGGGAGGAGGAGAAGGAGGAGGAAGAGGAGGAGGAGAAGGGAGGAGGTGTGGGGGAGGATAAGGACGAGGACGAGGAGCAGGAGGAGGAGGAGGAAGAGATCCCTGGATTCCATCCTGGGCAGCGCCCTCGAGGTCGCCACGGAGGAGGTGGTTGGCCCAGATGGAGGCGGGCCCCAGTGCTCCTTTCCACGGTTTTCGAGCGACCCCTCCTCGGCCTCGGGCCGCAAAGAAATTGTTCGGTGTTTCGGCGCCAACGAAATAGGTACGGAAAGGATGGGTACGAAGACCGGCAGCAGCTCCTGTTCGTTTTGGACAGGTTTCGCTCTCGATGTCGCCGCGGATGTGGTTCAGTCGAGACGGAAGGCCACCTGACAAACAGCGGCCGCTGTCGTTTCTCCGTGGTTCTCCAGAGTTGCCTTGGGTTGGTCCTGGGTTTTTCAGAAGGTATATTAGAGGACAGTGCGCCATCTTGGAGGCCGTCTTGAGCTATCTGAAGCCATCTTTGATACATGTTGGTCCCCCAGCCTCCCGAGTTTGGTTTGGCTCTGCGCGAAGGTGGTCTACGAAATGAATCCCGACAACTCACCTTCTTAAGGTGAGCCAGAACGCACACACAATGCGGTTCTCTTAGGTGTTGGAGGCTCCGTGGCCATTCTTGGGAGGAAACTTCCTTGTACAATCGGGAACGATGTCTGAGCCATCTTGGGCCGTCTTGGACGCTCTGACCCCTCACGCCAGCCCTTCCCCGACCCCGTGGAGGGGGTATGGGGAAGGGGTAATCCCCTCCCCGGTGGGGCAGAAGGGGATTGGAAGGGGACCCACGTGGCTGGTGGGATTCTGGTCAGAATGGGCCCCATGACAGGTCCGGGGGATCGACCTGGGAGGGTCGGAGAGCGTAGACGCGGAGAGAGGGGAGCCGACACCACCACCACCAGGGTCACGTCCAGCGCGGAGGTCCTCGATGCCTTCCCTCTGCAAGATGGACACGAAGCCTCTGGCGGGGCGCCGCCAGACAGGGGCACCAAACCACCAAGAGGGCCCTTCCCTTCCTGGTTGCTTGCGATGGTGGTAGTGGTGTCGCGTCGGCGGGAGTCGCCTTCCACCCCTCCAGTCAAGGAGACAGGGTGGACGGCAGGGAATCAGCCTGTTTCCGCACGCTTCGTTCCCGTGCGCATCCCTGCGAAAGAGAGCAGGGGGATGAGCTGGCGTCGGCGTGCCCTAGCCGCAGCGGGGCGCCCTCCGCGCTTTGAAAGGCCGCGGGAAACGACCCTTCTGGCTTTTGCGGTCTTCTTCCCCTTGTCCTTCTCCTCCCTCTGCCCCCTTCACCTTCAGCCTCCTCCCTACTCCTGCTTCCTCCCCGTGATCCTCGTTTCCGTCGTTCTTCCTTTTTTATTCCTCCCACCGCCTTCTTCCTCCTGCATTCATCGTCCCTTCTCGTGGTCCTCATTGTATCTCCTCCACCGCCGTCGTCACCCTTGTTGTCGTCGCATTACAGCCCCCATCCTCCTCGAGCCCGGAAGGTCATGGGCCACCGTTGTCGACGCAGACCGATGTGCTTGCCATTGGTCAATGCGCTCGTCCAGGGTTTCTGGCCTGGTACGCAGTCGCTCTTCCCTCGAGTGAGGAAGGGGGACGGACATGCAGGGGCGGATGAGGAAGGAGGAGGAGGAGGAAGAGGAGGAGGAGGAGGAGGAAGAGGAGGAGATGGAGGAGGACCAGTTTAAACTGAAGAGTCATCAACGATGTTGGAATCAACCCTCCCTCCAAGCTCCCTCTTCATGGGCCTCTACAACGTTTCATTTCCATTGAGGGAGCTGCCTCGTTGGAAGACAACCGTTTGAAGATCCTGAAGCATACCACAACATGGTTCTCGGGATTTCAATTCGACGGAGCGACCTGGTTGCTGCGTCCTGACGATCCGGAATCGTGCCAGAACGCCATTTTCGAGGTCTCAACACCGCGAATCAACGTAACTGTCGCACCTGTATAATCCTGATTCCTTCCAAGACATAATTTCTGGTACGTTGATCATGCGAATTCGTGAACATCTTACAATTTTGTTGAACGAATGTGCGAGGCGATAAGGTGAGAGCCACATTTTGAAAAGGAACCGCCCTCAATTCAATTCGTGAAACTCCTGCAATGTTTTAAAGCGAATGTGCGCGGCGTTAAGGCGAGAGCTTCATTTTGAAAAGGAACCGACCTCAATCCGTGAAGCTCTTGCAAATATTTAAAGCGAATGTGTGCGGCTCTAAAGCGAGAGCCACATCTTGAATACCACCCGCCCTCAATGTTCAGACCGAATGTACGAGGCGCCAAGGCGAGAGCCACAAATTCTGAAACGACTCGCCCTTCATCTGTGAAGCTGTTGGCACTTTAAGTTTCAGAGTCATCAATGGTGAGGAAGTCTTCGGCGAAACGCCCGGCCCGCCCTACAAACTGGCCTCGGAGCGCGACAGTGAACAGTTATTTATATGGAAAAAGGAATGTTGGAGGAGGAGGAGGAGGAGGAGGAGGAAGAGGATGGTGTGAAGGATGGGGCGTGCCACGCACAGGCAGTCGCAGGGAAGGGGAGGGCGCAGCAGGCGAAGACGAAGAGCTGGCGCAGTCCCTCCGGCGCACCCGACGCGAACGCCTCACGCCAGAGCAGAGGCTGCAAGCATGCCCCCACATAGCCCTCGGGCCCGCGGGGCCTGTCCCGGCCGCGCGCGCGCGTGAGCACGCCGGGGATATGGCGAAGACGCTGCAGGAAGGACCACTTCGGGCTCGGAAGGGGCCGTTCCTCAGCTCGATTCGTCGGGGAGCCCACTCGTCTGCGGCCGAGCCCCTCCGTGGCCAGAGGGGCCCCGGCCTTCGCCGGCTGGCGCTCCTCGAGTGTGGCACGGTGGCTGCAGCCCCTGGCTGGAGCTCCCGCCCCCGCGGCGCCGCCGCCCCTCGCGTGCCGGGAGCCCGCCGGGGGGGCAGGCATGCGCTCCCCCGCGGCCTGGAGCGCGTGCCTCCCGGCCGCGGCGCGGCGCGGCCCATGGAGGGCCGCCCCCGGTCGCTGCGGAGGACCGCCACTGCGGCGGCGGCCGGCGCCGAGGGGGGCCCCGACGCGGCCGTGGCCGGGCGCGGCGGCGCGCAGGCCCGCGGCGCGGGGCAGGACAGCGACGACGACAGCGACGAGGGCAGCGAGGACGACAAGGCCCTGCGCAAGGGGCGCAGCGTGGCGCACAGGGCGCAGCGCGGGCCCTGGAAGCGCATGCGCCACCGCCTGCGGCTGAACTTCCCGTCGCTGGCCGTGTTCGCCGCGCTGCTGATACGGAAGGAGAGTGACAGCTGCGTCAACAGAGTTTGCGCGAAGTCGGGCGTCAACATACTCTGGGGACGTTGTCTTCAAACAGTCAAGTGTACTTTTCTAGATTATTTTGGAGTTGTTTCTCTGTGTGTGTGTGTGCGTGTGGATATTTTTCAATGTTTCGCCCAAACTCCGCCTGTAGGAGGACATGCCCGACCTAGAGCTTGCGGAGGCCTGCGCGGATTTCTTGGATCCTGCGGTGGGCCCCCCCTGGCGGCGCCTCGGGCGCCGCCCCTGGCACGCCCCGCCCGCCAGGGAGGGGGCCCCATCGCAGGATGCGAGACATCCGCGCAGACCTCCGAGAGTTGATCTGCCCTGATTTCCGACGCTGCGGAACCATTCCAGCGTCGCCAAGACTCACCGCTGGAGCCCCGGAGACCTGGACCTCTAGTCTTCCTGCCGCCCTTTCTTCGAGCCCAACCGTGGCGAAGGAACTGCGGCGGCAGGCTCTCCAGGGTTTCTTTTCGGGCCGAACGAAAGGGGGGGATAGGGAAAGGGGGGGGGGGTACGCAATCTGCTGCATGCAGCTGGCTTCGGCCCCGCCGCTGGACCCATCCCTCGATGTATACATGGGCGCCTCCCGGCGCCGGGAGGCGCTGGGAAAAGCAGCTATACGTGAGCTGATTCTGACCCCCACCCCGTGGCTATCCCCCCCCCCCTTTTGCCCGGCCCGCTCTGTGCAGTCGTCGCTCCTTCTGCGGTCTGGACCTGCTGCTTCATGATCGTGGACGACCCCTTCGCCTCCCGGGAGGCGCCCCTGCAGCCCTGGGCCCACGGCGCCGGCGACCCTGCCGGAGCTCCCGCCGCTCGGGACGGCCGGGCGCCGCCCGCGGTGGGCGGCGCCGGGCGCGGCGGCGCCAACCTGCCCGAGGAGGACGACGGGGAGGAGGACGAGGTCGGAGGGGGGCCAGAGCCAGAGCACGACGAAACAGACAGGAAGGAAAGAAGCATCAAAAATACAATGGTCCATATTCAATGAGTTCAACTGAAGCCGTCGCAAGTACGAACCTAGATTCATGTGAGGATCATAAGCTCTTTTGCCATATACATGAATGGCATGCGCGCGGCAATCTCGCCAGTGGAAAGCCATCACGGGAGGTCTCCTGCCACTCTTGGCCCCGGGGGCCTCCACAGGGCCGCAGCAGGAGCGAGTGCGAGGTCGGAGGAGGGCCATCGAAGAAGAAGAGACGCTATACACAGAAACTTTTGGCGCTCCGCTCGGATTTCTAGCATCCGCGCTGGGCCCCCCCCCCGCGGCGCCTCCGGCGCCGCCCCTGGCGCGCGGAGCTCGCCAGGGAGGGGGGTCCAGCGCAGATCCAATGAATCCGCGCGGAGCGCCAGAAGTTCATGTTTGTAGCGCTTTTTCTCCTAAGGACGGCCAGTCCAAGAGCCCCTCGCGCAGCGAAGAGTCATCACGGGAGGTCTTCTGCCATTATTTGCCCCAGGGCTTCCGCAACAGGAACGCCGAAGGACGCAAAACGAACCCCAGAGAAGGGGTCGAGACACTTTTGGGGTCGACGTTGTGAAAATAATCGCGACGTCGGGGGTCTGGGGTCAAGACAGCGGCGGCGACGACGACGACGACGACGGGCGGCGGCGGCGGCCCTCCCCGTCGTGGTCCACCCTTTGTGAGGCTCTATGGAGGCCTCCTGTCGCCAGGGCTGCCCATCCGCTCCGGGCAGGAGGCAACGGATGGACGCCAGGAAGGGTCCTCCACCTCCCCCTCCTCCTGCTCCTCCTTCTCCTTCTCCCCCTTCTCCTTCTTCTTCTTCCTCCTCCTCCTCCTCCTGATCCACGGGGGCCGATCTGGAGCGGATCTGGGCATGACGTTGCGGATTGTCCCTGGCGACGATGGTGGGCGAGCGCAGTGCATGGGCGGGCACGGCACTCCTTCGCCCCGAGAGCCTCGCTGCGCCGACGGCACGGACCAGCGGCCCCTCTGTCTAGGCTTCCTAGATCGGGTCGGAGTAGATGGGGTCGGAGGATCGCGCCGCATCGCCGATGCATCGACGATGCGGCTGGATGCAGAGCCCGCTATTCTCCACGCTGACGTCACCGATGCATCGCCGACATCGCCGATGCATCGCCGATACATCGGCGATGCATTGGCGATGCGGCGCGATCCTTCGACCCCATCTGCTCGGACCTCATCTAGGAGGCCTTCCCCTGTCGGCGAGCGAGGAGGACGAGGAGGAGGAGGAGGAGGAGGAGGTGGAGGAGGAGGAGGAGGTGGAGGAGAGGGTTTGGCCTGAGCACAGGGATTTTGCTCGGCCGAGCCCCGTCGCGCACGCCAGACGTGCCGCGTTCCAGGCCTGCGATAGCTGCCTCTCGGGCCGTGGCCACGGCGCGCGCGGAGGAGGGAGCTGCACATCGCAGGGCACGCAAAGAACGATCTAAGGCGAGAACTCTTGTGAGGCTACACCCGGCCTATTTGGAGCTTGCCTCGCATCACTCAGCTCAGGAGGGGGTGACCAACAATCTGACGGTTAGTGACCTTAGCATGAAAGGATGGATTCCAACCTGGGATTGTCCACAGTGTGGTCGATATGTCAAGCGTCATGCTCAATGTTTCTGTGGACAACGGTATCATCCAAGCATGGGTCAGTTAGCTCAAGGCAAGGGAGGCGGCAAGGGATATGGGTACGGCAAGAGGTCTGGCAGCAAGGGAGTTGGCAGAGATGCACGCCCTCCGAGTCGCTCTCGTTTCTCGGACAGAGACACACGCCAGTATATCCAGCGAGTGCCTCACATGACCAAGGAGGAAGCAACAGCAGAGGTGTGCTACAGACAGCCGCTAGAGACCAGCGCTGAGCAGCGCCAGTTTCGATTAGCCATACGACGTCCGTTGACGGACTTAGTCACTTTCGCCCTGACAGCAAGGAGGGCCAGAGAATATGCACTTGCGGATTCTCACGACAGGAAGACCGCGACCTACAAGTGTATGAGCCGTTTCGGCTCGAGCTGATTTGTGTGAAGCTCGAGCTTGCAGCAGCATACTCCTTCGAAACGGCCAGTGCTGTTGCGGGCCAAATTGGCTCTTTGTCTTCGCCCAGTGGCCACACCAGCGTGGGCACTCCATTTCAGTTGCGCGACACGGCTTTGCTTCCGCCATGTCGAAAGGATGTAAGGGTTCGCCTGGGCATGTTGACGGCGGCGCCAAAGGCAAGCCGTGGGCCCAGGACCGTGCCAACCTCGTACAGTGGCCTCCGCTCGTTCCAGGTCCTCAGCTGCCTGCTCCTCCTTCGGCTGCTGGCAGGGGACGCTGGACATGCGAGGTCTGCGGCTGCAAGCGCAACGCCAGCTACTTCACCTGGTGCAAGCACTGCGGCTCCACGAGGTTGCCGCCCAACTCAGTCTGGCAGGGCGGCTACGGCAAGAGTCTGGCGCAGCCTCCTGGGGACATCAAGGGAGGCAAGGGCCACAGTTTCGGCTACGTCGACCCAGTTGCCAAGGGAGGCAAACCTGCTGGCCAGACCCCTTTGTCGGAGCCCAAGCTGTCCATGGAAGAGTACCAGCAGATGGCCACTTTCTGCGAGAAGCTCGGTGACTTGGAAGGGGCTAAGAGGGCTCGCGTTGCGGCTCAGGCTCTGGCGCCCCGCCCTCAGCATCACGAGCCCCTTCAGGTCCAGCTCTCTCGTGCGCATGGTCACGCTCGCTCGGTCGAGAAGAAGCTGGAGGCGGCCGTCCTCAAGTTCGAGTCGATCGAGGAGCAGTTGGAGGCTCAGAAGTCCCATGTGCTATCCTTGCGTGAGGAGCTGGCGGCCGCCGAGAAGCAGCACAGCGCCCTCCTCCACCGCCTGCACTCGGAATACGTCGACGGGCCGTCCGCTGAGAGGGCCAAGCTCACCATCGACGACATGCTGGACGACACCAAGTTGGAGGCTTGGCTGGACTTGTCTGCAGAGTCGCTCTTCCATATGGGCGAGCTGGAGTTCGAGCTTAGCGAGTCGGACAAGCAGGAGCTGCAGAGCAGGGCGACGCAGCTTCGCGAGGGCATCACCGCCATGGCCGCCAACCTGTTCAAAGAGTCGAAGTCCAAGGTGGAGGCCATCAAGGTGGAACACCAAGCCCACCTGCAGCGCCTCAAAGACGAGAACGAGAAGAAGCGGAAGACCAACGCTGGTGCTGCTGTCACGGTCCCTGCCGCTTCGGGTCCTGTCGTCGGCCCTGGCAAGGGCAACGCAGCACCTGCTGGAGGCGATGGAGGTGCTGCCCCTGCAGCCAGCGCGTCCGCTGCTGCAGCCGCGGCCAGCGGGCCCGCCGCGGCGGCACCTGGCGCCGCCGCGGCTGCTGCGGACGCTGACGGCGCCGCCTCTGCAGCAGGCCTTCGCCAGCGCGCGGACAGGATCGCCCAGATACAGTCTCAGGCCGCCCCCCCTGGAGGAGCAACGCCCATGGAGTCATGAAGTTCCGCTTCTGATCTGCCAGCTTGCCAGCCTTCAGGGGGGACCCCTGCAGCACTCTCGCAATCTTTCATCAGGCGTGGGTTTGTCTACCCAGCGGGGGGCGCGGTGCGAGTGGGGACTGCCCGGCGTTGCGCCGTTAGTGACCCTCGCACCGTTGCTCCCCGGCCCCGCGCACGGCGCGGAGAGTTCAACTCTGCCTCTGGCTGGATGGAACAAAAAGCCAATGTCTGGGCCAGCTGATGTTATAGTCGCTGACTGTCTGCATCTGGCTCGTGTTGATCATTGGCGCAGGAGGGGCCTCCCACGCTTTCTAAGAAGTCCTGGTGTCCAGACGAAGGATAGATCGGTTCGGTCGCGACGTTCGTCGCTGCTTGCTCGTGCCGATGCGGTCGTGTCGCCGTCCTCGTTTTACAGCTGGACGCCAGGCCAGGCAAGACGCGCACGCGCGCTGCCTGCGATTTCTCTCGGCCTTCCCTGCTTTACCCAGTTGCTCAGCTCGGTGCAGGCGTAGGCAAGAGTGTCCATTCGGTCTCTGTGGTTCAGCTTCCTTTGGCCGATGTGGACGATAGATTCGAGTCCCTTCTCCATGAGCGAGGATTGCACGTCTCTGGTCAGGCTGAGCTTGGATCGGAGCTGGCGAAGGTCAGCCCTCCCTCTCTGGTTCGCCAGCCTGCCCGTCCCCAACCTTTGCCAGGATCGCTTGTTTTAAGGTCTCAGAACGCGGGCGTCGGCTCCGACGCCCCACGGCAGCCCGTGCAGTCTGTTTCCTCTCCCAAGCAAGCTCCTGCCAAGGATGGAGGTGCGAGACCTGATCCCAACAGTGTTGAGCTTTGTATCAAGACCATCAACTGCAACTCATGGGGCACCATGCGCGGCCTTTTGGAAAGCCTCTCACACGCCCATATTGTCCTTTGTCAGGAGCACCGCTTGAGAGGGGAAGATGTGCAGGCGGCCAACGCGTGGTGTATCAAGAGGGGCTGGAAGTCCCTCTGGTCCGAGGCTGAGAAGACCGAGGCCGACACCTCGGCGGGGGTCGCCATTTTTGCTAAGGATTGGATAGGACTTCAAGGTATGGAAGGAGGTGAGATTGTTCCAGGCAGGTGTCTTGCTGGCTCCATGCACCTTCCAGGCACCTCCCCCATCGTTGTTGTTTCGTCCTACCTCTACCACACTGAAGAGCTTTCGGATCGCAATCTTGGTATCCTGTCTCGTCTCGGTCTCTTCCTCTCCAGTTGTGATTTGCCATTTGTTGCCGGAGCTGACCACAACTTCGAGCCACCTCTTCTGGAAGATACCGAGTTTGTCAGTAAATTGCGAGGTGTTCTTGTGGTTCCAGCCTCGTGCACGCATTTCCCGTCGGGGAAGCCTTCTGTCTTTGATTATTTTATTTGCTCGGGGGGGCTGGCCAAAGGTGTGAGAGAGTGCGCTGTCGATTTCTCTACGTCCTTGACCCCCCACCGACCTGTCAATTTGATTTTCTTTCCTCAGC